GTTTGGTAACATAAGCTTTTGCACATGGCTATTTTTTTCTTATTATATTTTGCACTATAGTCAGGGTCGACCGCACCTTAAGGCAATTAAGACATTTGTCTTGGGCCTCAACTTGGGTAGGGCCCACCCGAGATTCAACGTCAGGCTCCATCCATCTCCTAATGATGCAAGGATTTATAAAATATAAACAACTTCCTCTCCAAAGTCGAGAGAATTCAGCGCTTGCGGGTTGGGTCAGTTCGGTTGTTAACGTCTACCTAATCCGTTATTGGGGTCCGAAATCGTAATCACACTGCTCATTCATCGGATGTTCATGAGTCATTCATAGTAACTTATAACTAATATTTGCATCCGCTTCTAAATTCCCTCTCTATTTCAGAATCTAGGGTTTCTCTGTGAGCATGCAGCAATCCTCTCTCAAAGGTGACTCCTTTTTTCCCACTTTCTTCGTGATTTCTAGGGTTTGCTTGTTAATCTCTCTCAAGTAATCTAGAGCAAATAGTATGATGTCTCGTTTCCTTGATATTTTTAATTTTCCAAGCACCTTTCATGGATATACTGGATTCGAATTTGAGTATGATATGTAGCTATTATCAAAATTGGATGTGTACAGATTTTCTCTGTTAATTGTTTCATATTAGAAGAAGCTGATGCATTTACTTTGGCATTTGAGAATAGTTTTTGTTTTAAATATCGTAGATGGTATACTCATTAGGTGCTCTAGTTTAAGTTTTCATGGGGAGTTCCATATTTTATGTCAAACTAGATGGGAAGGTCGGACTGAAAGTGTTAAAGAAATAAAATTTTAAGCTCCAAATATAAGAGATTCTTTGATTCAATTAGCAGAAATTAGTGAAGATCCAAAGATAAAAAGTGAAGCCAATAGCTTAGCAACTTATGAGATTGAAAATTTTGAATTCTTATTAGCAAGAAATATTTGGTATGACATACTGTTTGTTGTTAATTCAATTAGTAAAATCTTACAATCTAAAGATATGCATATTGATATTGTCATAGATCAATTAAAGGGTCTTATTGTATATTTAGAAAATTATAGACAAAATTGTTTTATGTCTGCTTTGAATTCAACTAAAGAAATTGCTAATGAAATGAACGTACAACCTATATTTCGTGAAAAACGTAAAATTCATAGAAAAAAATAATTTGATGAAAATATTGGTAATGAAACAATATTTAACGTTGAAGAATATTTTTGTATTGAATATTTCTTATACATAGTTGATAAATCGCTTGGCTAAATTGAAAGTAGGTTTGAACAATTTAAAACGTATGAAATTTTTTGGTTTTTTGTTTGATTTGAAAAACTTAAAAGCTTTAGATGATATTGAATTAAAGAATGTTGTCTTAATCTCGAAAATGCACTAAAACATGATGAATATTTAGATATTAATGGACTTGATTTGTTTTCAGAATTGAGAGTGCTTAGGGAAATTTTAAAAGTAGAGATTAATAGTCCAATTGAAGTGTTGAACTATATAAAGTGGTTAGATTCTTTTCTAAATATTTGTATTGCTTATCGTGTATTATTAACTATACCCGTAACAGTTGCTTCCGCTAAAAGAAGCTTTGCAAAATTAAAATTACTAAAATCTTATTTAAGATCGATCATGTTACATGATAGATTGAATGGTTTAGCAATATTATCTATCAAAAATATATGTTAGAAAATATTGAATATAAACCTTTAATTAGTAATTTTGCAGCTCAAAAGATAAGAAGAATGAGATAAAAATCTATTATGAGTTGCTTAGGCCTCATCTAATATTTCGCCTTGAGCCCAAAATTCCTAGGTACGGCCCTAACTATAGTAGAAGGTGTGTGTCCACCTCTTAACTTAATGGAAGTTCTCTAATCCACTAAGCGCAACATGTTATTTCATTTAACCCATTGTCATAAAATCACACTATCCATTAGATAAAAACTTCAATGTCGTGACCAAGGCTGAGAGTTATAATTTTACATTCTAAAGATACTTAATCTCCTTAGCTCACCTTATAAATACATTTATACTTCCGTAAAATTCCAGGGACATACAAAAGAGTATCACAAACGTAATAAGCTTGTTGCACACGTGTGTGTTTGCGAGAAATGTAGAAGGAAAGAAGGGCGTGAGCTCCCTTTCCTCCGTATCCCCACGTTTTCTCTGTGATTTCCTTCAAAGTGACCTCACATTTTCGGTCATACAATATACAAAATTTGTGACATCACTTGCATTTTTTTTCCTTTTCACGTGCAGTTACAACTACCCTTTTGTGGAAAACTTTGCGCCGTTGGGACGGCTTAACCCTCACGATTTCGCAGTTTCATTCACATGGCCTGCCTTTTATTAGAGACTCACCTAATTTCAACATAAAAAAAATGGATTCGGATCCTCTCCATTATCCAAAAGATAGTGGAGGGACCGCTACATAATCACAACCATTGATTGTCTAGTTGGTGATTGTGGTTTTTTTCTTTGAATGCAAATTAGGAATGAACGTAATACACGGTGGTATGGTGAGTGTTAGATTTAGATTGTATCATAACCGTCTACTAAGTAATCAACGATTGAGATTAAAAGTTATGGTCTCTCCACTACTTTTTTTTAGTGAAAAGGATCCAAATCCTAAAAAAAATGGTTAGAAACATGTAATAATTTCTGAATGGAGAAGACTATACAAAATTTTCGAAGTCCTTTTTAATTTTATTTGTTATTTGGACGGATTCCCCCGTTGTAATAAACAGATTTTCGTGGGGCTGCCGGCTAAATTCTTTGGATTTTAGTATTCAAAGGCAGAAGTAATGCTGAACTACCTACATCAACTTTCATTTCATAAAAAATCAAGCACTTGCCTTATAGTAAAAAGAACTACCACGATTTTTTCAAATCTCTTTAGCAAATTCTATCTTTTGTTTGTTTTGTTTTGTTTTGTTTTGTTTTATTTATTTATTTGATCAAATATCCATTCCGTACCATGTCCGTGAACCTACAAACTTGCCATGATGTATTCCTAACTTTTTACTAGCTTAGCCAAGTTATTTATTTAGCCAATTAAAATCGTAATGGTTAATTAATAAATCGAATTGGACAGGTAAAATTCAGAGTCCTGTCCAATGACGTTCGTAGGCAAAATATGAGTGCAATAACACCCTAACAACCTTATAATAAAAAGTTAATGTCACTTTAATATCTAAAGCGACTGCTGGTTTTTTTTTTTTTAAATTTTTTATTTCCCCCTCAAAGTCGTAGTTTTCATACTAACCTAGTTGGGATTTTCCAATTAATATTAACACATTGAATTATCAAAGTTCCGTAAAGGGTGCACTGCAGTTAGTCACTCGTTGTTGGCTCTTACCATCTCTTGATCAATTGATATTTTTGACAAGAATAAATCACAGATTGCTCCTCTACAAGCGCAAACAAATAAATTAGGATATGACTAATGCTATTACTAACATTAGACATTGATGAGAAGTATTATCTACAATCGATTTTTTCCATATTACGGGCGCTCACTAAAATATAAGAGAGATAAAAAGAAATAAATAGCAAGTGAGCCCCTCAAGTTTACGCCGATTTCTCATCTACAATTTACCCTCTTAATTACCAAACTTAATAGTAATTTACCGGAACTTTGTGATTTTATCAGAATCTCCATAGAATTTTCCGGAAACAATCAGCAAACTCAATTATGGCGAAGCACTTTTTATCAACGAGCAGTAATGGGGAGGGGTCTGGCGTTGTCTTTCACCACCTACCTCCATGCTGACATGGCAACACCTTATTGGCTGGGCAGCCAGGTAAGAGCCCACATCAGCACGGGACCCACGAAAGAACCGAACCACAACCTCCCAGCCGCGACTCAGTCGCTCAGTAGCTGGCCCGCTTACTTGGGCAAGCGATGAACAGCACCACCACTCCAGAACAAAACCAACACAGAAGGCAAGCTATAACCCAACGAAAGGAAAAGGGGGAGCTTTGCTTATAAGCCCAAAGTTTTATCTTGACTTGTTTTTGGGCCCGTCAACTATCAATCATTCTTGGACTCTCCCATAGTTCCCACGGAATCCGCAAAAGTGATCAGACCATTTTGATCGAATGTATAATACACAGACTTATCTTGCATTCTTTTTCAAGAGCCTGCTTCGTCGACGCAAGTTTGTGATCTCTAGATCACACCGCGACAACTCTTACCGCGACAACTCTTACAATTGCACTAAGGTTCAATACGGTACTTTAAGTTTAAGAATAATTTTAAAAAGTGGCTGGATCTGAAAGTAAATCAGTGTAGTACTCCGTGCTTATAAACAAAACAAAACCGAAAAAAGAAAAGAAATTGATGTTTGAACAATGATTGAGTTGCCACGTTCAACCCAAGAAAAGACTCACACCGCGCTCCGCGCTTCGCTACTCCCCAACCCCATGCCCTACCCGCCATCCCGCCCACCCACCCACCCACCCACGTACCCACGCACAGACAAACGGAAACCTCTCATATATAAACACCCCTCTCCCCCTCTCAAAAAATTAGCCAGAGATCGGTTCACAACACAATCTCTGCGCCTAAAAACAGAACCCCAAAAAAAAAAACAAAAGCTGAAAGAAATTATAAAAAAAAAAAGGTTTCTGAATGGCACTTAGATTACCCACAAATCATCTCACGCTCTCCTGCCTTGCAACTTTGCAAGGCAAGAGCACCACGCCACAGAAACCCTCCCTCAGTCTCAGCAATCCTGAAAGCAAAAACAACCCAAAAGGAGGCATCAAAAATAGAACCACCGTCTCGTCTCCTCACTGGCGAGGAGACCCGCCGGCGCTTCGGCCTTGACATAACCCGTCGAGGAGCTCGAGCGGCCTCTTCCGCCGCGCCACCGTCCCCGGCGGCCTTCCGCCGTCGCGATTTGTCGCCCTCTCCTGCCACCGCCGCCGCGGCTGCGCGTCGCGTACCAGGGCGGCCTCGGCTCCTACTGCCAAGAGGCCGCTGGCCGGCAGCGCGTTCAACGTCCGTGCCTCGTTCGACTCCTTCCCATGTGAAAACATGGAGGACGCGTTCTCGGCGCTGGAGGATTTCTCCGCTGATCGCGCTGTCGTCCCGGCGGAGAACTCCGTCGACGGGCCCATCGACCGGAATCTTGATCTGTTGCTTCGACACGAGGATGTGAACATCGTCGGAGAATTAGTCCTCCCCGTTAACCACTGTCTCCTCTCTCTACCCGGCGTGAAAATTTCCGGGGTCAGGAGAGTAGTTAGCCACCCGCAGGCTCTCAGCCACTGTAAACGCCGGCTCGAGGAACTGAACGTTGAAATCGACGAGGTCGACAGCGCTGCTGACGCTGCGAAATTCGTGGCGGAGAACGGGATCGGAGACACCACGGCGGTGATCGGAAGCAAGGTGGCAGCTGGGGAGTTTGGGCTGCAGGTTCTAGAGCACAATTTCCAGGATCCGACAGTTAATTTCAACCGTTATTTACAGCTGGGTCTCGGTTCGGGTTCTGCGATCCGACCCGGGGAAACCCGAAAGACTACGGTGGCGTTTACCCTAGATAGCGGAGTTTCGGATCTTTTCCGGGCGATGTGGATATTTGAGGTACGAGGGGTTCGGGTTACACGCGTCGAACACCGGCCTAACCGGGCAAACCCGATAAGGACCGTAGAGAAGGAGACTGGAAAGGCTGTCAAGTTGGATTATGTCTTCGTTTTGGATCTGGAAGGATGCGGGTCGGATCCGAAAGTAAAGGCGGCCTTAACGGGTCTGGCCGAGATTGCGGGGTTTGTACGGGTGCTAGGGAGTTACACATCCAAGTGTGAAAGCATAAGAAGTTAAAATAAAGATTAGAAATAAGTTGTGTATAAAAAGTATATACATGCAGATTGAGAGGAAAAGATGAGACAAGACTGCCTCTCGATGCAGAGAAGAAAACTGCATTTTTTTTTAAACATTTGTTTTTCCGTTCTTTTCAAATTGTATGTATGATAGATTTAACTAGTCCCCCAATTGGGACTGTTTTATCTCATTAAAGTTTAAAAGATCATCACATGGAATCCATCAATTACTGATTAATATCTTGAAAGATATTAAACGTCATTTCTCGAGGGTTTTCCAAGATTAGGATTTGAGGTTTCTTTGAAGGAAGCACGAGACGTAGTCCCCTTTTAGGGTCTGTTTGGTTTGACAAAAATACCGGAAATAGTAAATAGATCATAGAAATAACTTTTAAAATTATGAAGTAAAAAATAATAAAAGTTTCGCATATTTTTTTGAAGTAGTGGAAATGATACTTCTTATTGATCAATGCCTTTTTTCTGTTTGTATAGCAATGAAAAATTGTTAGGAAGTAACTATTAAAGGAGATATTAATAAAAAAATTTATTTATTTTCTAATTAATACATATTTCATCTACTTTCAGGCTACTTCCGAGCCTTAAGGGTTGGGCAAACATTTAAGAAATAAAGATGACATATAAGCGCCGTATTAGCGTTTAAGGAAATATTGAAAATAGATTTTCCTTTGTTACCCCTAAACCGAGTTTTCCTTTGTCACCCAAAAAAAAGCACTACATTTATGACAAAAAAAACATACCACACAAGTATAATCATCTATGTAAAATGCGTACTATTATCTAATCTAATGTGATTGCAACTTTCATATCAGAACAACATAGTTTTCTGTTGACCTACGCTAAGGAGGTTCTAATAAAAACCTCCTTAGCCTAAAAACTAAAAACCTCCTTCATCCATTGGATCTAGATAAATCCAATGGCTGGGATTCAGTCAAACAATTAACAGACATATGCATTAATTACCTCATTAATTACCTCAACGCAATGAATCCAGATTCACTACCTCAACGTATCTCGAATCACTGCAGTGGATCCGGATTCACTGTGTTGATGTAATTAATGCATGTGTTTAATGAGGTAATTAATACATGCGTCTGTTGACTGTTTGACTGAATCCTAGCCATTGGATGAAGGACGTTTTTAGTTTTTAGGCTAATGAGGTTTTTATTAGAACCTCTCCCCCCTTTATTAAATCAAGTCTAATTTGATTTTCCCACCAAAGTGGGCAGTGGCGGACCCACCCTTGTTCAAAGTGGTTCACTTGAACCACCTCATACAAAAGTTCTCTATAGCCTAGTGGTATTGCAGTTGGTAACATTTTGTAAGAGGTCTGGAGTTCAAACCATCCAGCCTTCGAAAATTTCTCTTTTAGGCTTCTTTCCTTTTACCTCCCCTCTATTCTTCTTCTTCTTCTTCTTTTCCTTTCATTTTATCCATTTGTTCTGTCTACCTCTTTAAGGCCTTCTATAAATATTATTGTTTCTTATATATATAAGTCAAATCATTGTTTAAAAATGATTGTTTTTCTCTTTAATAACCCTTCCTTCATTTTTTTCCCACCTGCTATTATTTGAGAAAAAAATTTAGTGTATATTTTGAACCACCACAAAAAATGTTGTAGATCCGCCACTGAAAGTGGGTATGCCTATTAATGCAACTTAATACATAATAATATAGAAAATACCTAGGACTTTGCCTGACATAAGTAAAGGATAACCATGATATTGATAATTTTTAGCATTTATTAGGGATTAGAAACGCTAAAAGATATATTCCTCAAGTTAGTAGGCCTTTTGCTCACCTAACATTGAGAGACTAGCGAGTCCAGTCTACACCAACCCACATTTAGTTTCTTCCTCTTACCTTCTCTCTCTCTCTCTCTCTCTTTATTTATTTATTTTAATGAGTGTCCCCTTTCACTGATCCTTCTGGATCAAGACATGAATGAGCCAATTAGCATTTAAATAGTGGATAAAATAGGATATTGGTCCCCAAATTTCATCTGTTTAGAAATAACAGGATATCGGGACTATTATTTCTAAACAGATGAATTTTTTTCCATAAAAAAAAAAGAAAGAAAAATTCATCTGTTTAAAAATAACAGTCCCAAAACTTTATCTTATAAAATAGGGCTATTTTTAACAAAAACCAGGCTTAAAATAAGGTAAAAATATAAAAAAACACATTTAAGGTTCAATTAAAAAAGAAACCGTCATTAAAGGGCATTCAGGTTGCAATCAACCATGTTGAGTTACTTTTGATGAAATTTCAATCTAAATTTCCAAAATACTCTTAAAGTACACGTGCCGAAAACAAGACATATCATCTTAACCGAACTTTACATTTTCTTAGCGCATTTTTTAGGGTATTTTAGAAAATTCAATAAAAAATTAACTTGAAAATAGATCAAAGTGATTAATTATAATGGAACCTGCTTTAGAGGTGTTTTCTATATTAATTGAACTTTAAAAGGTGGCTTTTGTATTTTCTCCTTATTTTAAAGATGTGTTTATGTGAAAGAAAAAATGCAACTAAGAGCATATAGAATTTTATTTATTTATTTATTTATTATTATTATTATTATTATTATTATTATTATTATTATTATTATTATGGAGGGACTTATAAAATTAATCCCCTGAATTGATGGGTTTAGAAGTTGTTGCCTTTGTCAGTGGTATAAATGAAAAATTGTTGGATTTTTTGGTCAAAAATAGCTTTCCAAAATGAGTTTTCAAATTATATATATATATTAACTACAAGTACTTTTCATAAATGCTTTGTAGCCTAGTGGAAAGTTAAAGTTTTGGTATTTCAAAAGGTCCCTTGTTCGAGGCTTGCCAACGGCAAGCTGAGAAGTGTTTTATTTGAATTAATCTCTCATAAGTTCGAATGGGCCGTGGACCGTGGGCCAAAGGGCCGGGGATCGGGGCTAATCGAGCTGAGGCGCTTTGTTAGGTGCTCGCAAGCTGCTTCGCAGCATGCGGACGAGCTACGTATTCGCACGAGGATGACCCTAGCGTTCTCGTAGTTTGACGAGGTTCGCTCAATCGACGAGGTTCGCATGTTTGACTATGTTCGCTCGTTCGACAAGATTCTTTTGTCATAAGAGGTTCGTCTGTCATACGAGGTTCGCTTGTTTGACGAGGTTCGCTTGATCGACGAGGTTCGCTTGATCGACGAGGTTCGTATGTCATGCGAGGTTTGCCTACTTGACTATGTTCGCTCGTTCGACGAGGTTCGTCTGTCATACGGGGTTCACCTGTTTGACGACGCTCGTTTGTCAAACGAGGTTCGTCTGATTTGTTGAGACGTGACCCTCGCGTTTCGTAGCAACGCGTTTATTGATTGCCTCGTATTCAGGAGTTAATGCATGCAGCGATTACAACAGCATTAAGAGCAATTTAATACATTGATGTTACAATCTTAATTGCCATTAAGAATTATAACAGTCACATTAATTGCTTGTGACTCTTGAGCTGGCCTTAGAGGCCTATAAATAGCGCCCTTAGACAGCTCTTGGTCATTGGCTGAAAAGCTGAAAATCCTCTCGCGAGCGTGGAACACGAACGTGGAACACGAGCGTCGCGTGCTGGAATATGAACGTCGATCCCGACGTTGTTGTTGTTGTACTGCTGCTGCAGGAACTTGTGCCCACAGGAACTTGTCTTAAACCGAAAGGTTTTGCACCGTAAGGTTCTGAGATCGAGGAGATCTTTTGCCTTGACCAAAAGGTCTTATAGATCGAGAAGATCTTGACAATACTGGGTTGGTGCACACCAGAGTATTACACTGCTGTTCCTGGAAGCAGTTTGGCCTTACTGGGTTGGTGCACACCAGAGTATTACACTGCTGTTCCTGGAAGCAGTTTGGCCTTGGGATCCTTGCATCGGAGTAGGCCAAATATTGCTTTAAGCCACTGCTGTTCCTGGAAGCAGTTTGGCCTTGGGATCCTTGCATCGGAGTAGGCCAAATATTGCTTTAAGCACAGCGTTTCTATAATGCACAGCAGTTAACTGAAAAAAGTTTTAAAAAAAAATACAGCACATCTAATTCCTTGCTTCATTCCAGATTTTACCTCAATTTCCAACAAAAATTAACTACTATTGCCTCATTTTGTGGATAAAATAAAAGATCTAAACTAGAGAGACTACTTTGGAATAACCAACAAGTTTCGAGGGACATAATATCAAGTTTTGAGAGACTTATTTCAAAATAGATGAGATTTGGGGATCAATGACTCAAAAAGCACTTTCTATACTTGCTTTATACACCATGCAATATTTAGTTGAGCCGCACATGGGAAAAATCTCTCTACTGTCCTAAATACCGGTATCCGTCTCCATGCTCAAAAGAGGCCTATGAATCTGAAGTTCATATTCGTCGCTTCCCTCTGATATTTTGGTATAAATGCTTTCTGGCATTTATTATATTCAATCTGCACGCAATGTTTACTACAACCTTTCCACAAAGAATAATGATAACTATATAACTTCTACACTACAAGGGTGAGAACTGAAGTATGGCTCCTTTGATGAGTAATTAATTTTTAAAAAAATTAACGAGAATATACCCAAGCTTTTTCTCTCCTGTAATGTCTTGTAACGTAGAGATTGCGCTGAAATAGTAGTATAGTTATCACTAATCTTCTGAAAATTTGCTGCATTAGGCAGCAGATACATGAGAGCATAAAGTTTCCTAATTAAAACAGAGGCATTATATATATTCATAACCTAACACAATGTTTGTTCTATGCTCCCCCAACACTTTAGCCTTTAAATTGATCCTATACCAAACACAAGAAAACCTTGCGTTTTCTATATACAAGTATATTCTTGGCCAATTTAGTAGGTTTCATAAACTTTTACCTACCAGACAACAGCTTGTCACACATAAAATATACAATTTAAAGAGGCGGATTTTGCGTCAAAAATCTAGCTAAAGAAGATTTCTATGCAGTGCCTTCACAAGGGAGATATGACAACAGCATGACATTACTGATGTTGTCATTTTAGCCAAAGCATTATATTATATTCTTTAGAAATTTTTGAATGTCACGCTTCACCTAACCAAAACATATTTGTTTGTGTTTGTCACCATCAGGATGATATTTTGTTGGAGTGGGTACTTTATTTATGCCGATAAATAAATTCTTTAGCATATAAACATTAGTAAATATATACACTCATTCCTTCTTCATGAATATGAAATAACTGCCTTTAACTCGTGGTGTGTTCCAGTTAATGCAAGTTAATAGCCAATGTATTCTGCCCACATAATAAAGCTAACAAGCAATGCTTAATAGAATGCTAGGAAGCATGCAATCTCCTGCATAATATTATTCTGAAGGAATCCACAACAACTAAAGATACTCTATCAATCTCACATTAATTGGATTGGGAGCCATCATTAGATGCTAGTGTGAGTGGTTGAACAAGCAAAAATCTAAGGGGATATTCGGTTCATTGAGACTGTAAATGCAAATGTCAGCGGCATGCAATAGTCTTTATCATTGTGTTAAAAGTAAATTCTCTACAAATTTTTGTATGATGTTTGAATTACATATTGCAGTTAATAATAAATATTTACTTCGTTGAGTTTCACGCCCTACTGTTTTCTTAAAAAAAAGGGAATCAGGATTTAATCGTAAGTCTAACTAGCTCCAACAACAAAAATTATATTTCGCCTTGATAAGGCCAGAAGCAGGGATCTAGGAATATCATAAAACAGAGACCAAATCAACTAGAAGTAAACTCAAGGAGATTGCTTTCCACTAGCTCAAAAGAAAATTACAAGCAGAGAGGTTGGTTTGAAACACAACCAATTTGGAACAGACAGATCATACTTTCAGGCAGTGTGAAAAATAAAAATGGCAAGTTTTCATACCTATAAATCGACAGCCTACAGACTGAGCTTTCTTGTTAAACTGTCTGTAACATCTTGACAACAAAACTGCTAATGTTTTGAGTACCTGTAATTCAAAGTAAAGAATTCAGCATGATTAAGTGTCTAATAAGGAAACAAACAATAAAATCAAAATATCCACAGATTTCCATTTAGGCAGAAGATATTTCACATAAATTAAATACGTAATAGCCAATCCCCACTTATGGATAGCTGAATATTTATGACTAGCCGACAATCTAAATTTTTTTGAAAAAAATCCTTGAGGACCCAAAATATGGGACCAATAGGGGGGACAAGTGAGGTGTCCCCCTCCTATTGAATAATGAGTTGGCCATCATTAATGATGACCAACTCATTATCCAATAGGAGGGGGACACTTCACTTGTCCCCTCTATTGGTCCTATTTTTTGGGTCCCTGTAGCAAAGCTTATTTTTTTAAAAAGAAAATGACAAACAGGCAAACTCCACTTATGGATAGCTGAATATTTATGACTAGCCGACAATCTAAATTTCCAAATAAAGCATGACATATAAGAAGCAGAAAGTTCAAGCTGTTGTTTGTCTTCTACAATATAACACATTACATGTACTTTAATTTATGGGCAATAGACTCAGAATCTCACGTTCATCTTGGTGACTGAATATATTCCAAAATGATTCAAACACCTACTGTAATTCCTTTCTTTCAGTGCGCCTAAACTACCCACATCTTTAGGTCATTTGATGTACGCTGTTGTTAATTACAGCGTTTCAAAGATTTTAGTATAAACTAGTATAGTGCACATGCTTTGCACGAGAGATTTGTTTTATGTTTTTTTGTTGGTTGCAAAATAAAAAAATGACTTGCGTAGTAACATAAATTATGAACAATTACAATTTTGTTTAAGTGAATAAATTATACGATAAAACTATGTATAAAGAACTGTATGATTAATTATTATAGTTTGGATAATTATTATTTATTCATAATTTATTAAACTAATTATCATATATTAAATAAATTATGTATAGAGAACTGTATGATTAATTATTATAGTTTGGATAATTATTATAATTTAGTCATAATTTATTAAAATAATTATCATATATTAAATAAATTCTTCTCTTTTAAATATAATAATTTTATACATAACATACTTATAACACTATTAGTAACTACATTTTAATTTAATAATTAGTTTATTATACTATTAGTAAATAATTTACTAAATTGTTTAATTATTAAATTATAGTATAATTTATTAATTTAAAAACACTATTAAGATCATTATACGATTACGAATTATTTTTTATACTATTATCATACTTTTAAAAGGCTAGTAAGATGGAAGGTTACAGGTAGTCCACCATACGAGGTGAAATCCTACGGCACAAAGCATAAGCCTAATGAATTTTTCTTATTTTTATTTTTTTCTAGAATTTTTAATATTATGTGAAAATAAATTAGGGATAAATTACGAATTTTCTATGAAATAACATACTTAAATAATAAATTAATAGTGTGAGCAAAGGTTTCAAAAAAGCGAGGAAATGTATAATTAATAAGAGGTGATATATAATTAGTGAATGATTAATTACAACCAATGGCATATTTGAGAATTATCAAACGGGTAAAAATGGAAATCAAAAGTTTTGACAAGGCAATCCTCTTTTATATGCAGTATAGATATAGATAAGGCATTATATGATTATTGCTAACAATTCAGTAAATGAGAAATTTGAAGGGCAAGCTGCAAATGGTGTAGAAAAGGTAAGATTTGAAAGAGTGGCATGTATACAAGGCAACCTAAGAGAATCTTGTGGGGATACTAAATTATTGAAGATTGCAGGCCAGACATTCTTATGAGGGAAGGATACATGGTATCCTACCAACCTAACCAGTTTCTTGTTAATGCACAGGTTAAATAAATATTAATTGAAATACAACCACCTAGAGAAAAACAAAACAAAAAGAAAACAGACAATATACAAATGAAGAATCAAATATGGATTTATTTGCGGAGAAAATCGGTCTTCCAAGATAAAGCTCCTGCTCTGTTCATCCACAAGTTAATGTTGACCATGAACTTCCAATCTGATGCAAACCTACTGTCTTTGACAAGTTAAATTATTCTCATCACAACATCACCCGATTAAAAAAATGTACCATATAGTTTAGTATATACTTCTAAAATTTAGAAGATAACCATCATTATTATAAATACTTGGAAGATATACCCATATGCCCTTTTTATATATATACTGGTGAGATGATTCTTTCAACGGACGCAAACGTACAGCCGTACATGACCAGAAAATTATCTGTAGCTGGATACATGATGTACTTGTATGTCCTTTTCAACGATTATGAATTTGAAAGATTGATACATAGCAACTACATTTGAATACAAAGGGAATACTTCCTGAAGACAATAGGTTCTTCCTTGAAGGGAAAAAAAAAGTCCATAAACACATCCATGAAAGTTTGATGTGAAAACAAAAGATTCTAATTCAAGACCCTATTACAGGAATAAGAACAGGACAGCATCTGAAATGAGACAAGAACCACAAACAAAATTAGTAATGGGGTGAATGATTGACCCTTACCACCATTCTTGTTTTTCCAGACACCAACCGCCAAAAAAATAATAAATAAATAAATAAAAATAAAACTAAATAAATAATAAAACAAAAAACACAGACATTACTGAAGGCAGGAAATCGGAGGCAAGAGTACAGAATTACTGAAGCCCTTACACCCAGTGACATTGTGGCACGTGATGTATTTAAGTTAATTATTCCCTTAAATTCCTTATCAGCATCCCTCTAATAATTTAATCATTACTTCATCTAACATGCAAGGACCATTTAGAAAATCTTTCATTGATACCATGTTGTATAGAATTTTGACAGGATAAATTGTGACCCGAAGAAGTAGAAGAAGGTATTATCTGCATGGGTCCTTAAAGCGGACAGGTGTTATTTGCAAATTTTACCTCAGAATTGAATGCTGTAAAAATAAAGTGAGATAGCTATTATGAGGTGGATCCATTAAACAAATTGAATGTCATACAAAGCTTTAGTCTTTCATACTTGTCATAGAAGAACTTTGGATATTAGGACATAATATTAAAAGCTGACAGTCATTTTGTAATACAACTTAGCAATTAAAAGCTCAGTCATAAGCTAACCAAGACACATACACATACTTAATTTAATGTAGAATAACCTGACTAGAAAAGCTATTTATGCACAGTATACTGTGGTTATCTTAGCATTTACTCATATTATTACTCTACCTTTCTCCAATAATCTGCTTAATGTCTCCAGTATAAGCAAATAATAACACATTTCCCAGTGGAAAGTCTAGGTTCAGAAGCTGTTCAAACATGCAAGGAAGTTAGGAACACAACTTCAGAGGATTATCTACTAGTATGATAGGGAGTTCAACATGTCAGAATTGTAGGTCACTCTATTATAAAACTAGGTGCAACCCTGGGCAACAGGTGCAGATCAAGTGGGTTGGGTCGAGTCGGAGGCAAACCCGAAACCCTAGCCTGACCCTTCTTTTGTTGGGATTTTTCCAAATCAAAACCTACACCTGGCTGATTCTTGCTTTGATTGGGTTGGCTCAGGTTGGAAGTGAGTATGGTTGATTAGGATGAGAAGATTAAGTCAGCTTACACATCTATTAGAACTTTTAAATAGCAATTAAAATTCAAAGCTCGTCATCAAATCCTAAGCTCCAAGTCTGTGAGATGCCCAATAGTATAAATAATCCACAAAGTACAACCTAATGCATCTTTCTGTGTATATTACATATAACAAATACTTTATCTATATTAATATGTTGAGTTGGAGCATGTAGGACTTGGATTGGGTTTTGATTAGGCTCGATATATTTCTGAGTTCAGCCTAACCAACCTAGGTTCAGGTGTAAGCCCAATAATGCATAGTTTGGGGGATCCAAATGCAATCCAAAATTTGCAACCTAGATCACGCTGAAACATACATTATATATTGAAGTTTTCATCCAGCTAATTAGCACATGCTAAAACCATCTTAATAAATTATCTCATCTGACTTCGATTCTTTATTGAAGCTACCTATAACTTCTTATGGATTCATTCACTGATCATGTCTTGTTTTAGTATATGCCCAGTCATCCATCTCAGCAATTTCAAGTTATCTAATATATGCCCAAGTGATTCTTAGGTCCTCAATGCCCTTAACATATAATCTTACTATAAATTTTTCCTTCAATTTCATAAGTATCTTATAATCATACAGTATTTAACGAGCACTTCTCCACTTTTCTCTGTTATGTTTTATATGATGCAAGTATTTAACAGAATCTTTCTCCAAATTATGCCTCAAACAGTCATCTCTTTGCATTAAAGTGGAAGTAATTTGAGATTTTAGAAACATGTTTACGTGATTGATTGTGAACAATCCCAGGTTGACCAAGATTTACTACAAAAAGGATTGGGAAGAAAGAAGAATAATAATAAAACTTGTTAGTTCTTAGATTTCGGCCATTTGGCTAACTGCATGTCTCTTAATCGAAACCTACTGTATCATCATCCTCTCAAGTAATCCTAAGTATACTTGGACTTACTAACAAAATGAATATCTGTACTAATCTAATGAACTTTGTACCATCAAGATAAAATATACATATACATTGATATCAAGTTTCAGAGAGTGAGTAATCTAAAATTATTCTCTTCTGCCTTCGCAAGCAATGGGGGATTCAACATATGGGGCTAGGAGTCGACTCAGGTTTCAGATCGGCAACAATCAGAAACTACTGATTATTTCTACGCCTCTACTTACGGCAACAATCTTTGTCATTGCAGAACAACGAGAAACAATGGTCATATCTTCTATTGTGAAACAACAAAAAGATGCTAGCAATCGTTTGGAGGCACAATGACGACAATCATTTTTGCAGTCTCAATAAGAGCAAATAATCGATGTTTCGAAGTTGAAAAGGCATCAGCAATCTTTGTCATCCCACAACATGAAAATTGTTATTGATGTTTGTTTTGGAGATGCAACGACGACTAAGAACCTGACTCAACTCCTTCCCCCAGGCAGAATCCCCCATTAATTGCGAAAGCATAAGAGAATAGTTCTCCATTACTGACTCTCAGATTCTTGATATCAATTTATGTTGTTTTTTATCTTGATGTTACAAAGTTCATCAGATTGGTAAGGATATTTATAAATTTCGTTAATAAATTCGAGCATACTTAGAATTATTCAGAGAGAATGATGATATACTAGGAAATGCAATCAACCAAATCTAAGAACTAATAGGTTTCATCATTATTTCTTTCTTCTCATTCCTTTTTAATACTAAACCTTGGGTAACCTTGGAGATTCACAATAAATCACGTAAAAATATTTCTAAATCTCAAATTGCTTCCATTTAAATGCAAAGAGATGACTGTTTGTCTTAAACACACAATTATCATTCATGCATTTTTCTCTTTAAATTTCTCCGTCAATCTCATAGTTACCTTATATAAGAATATAGCATTGAACAAGCACTTCTCCCCTTTAACCATCTTGGTTAGACTCTTACAAGAAAATCTTTAGTTAAAATGATCATTCTTCAAAAGGTTTTTCGATGAAATTCCCAAAATGCCTGTCGGAAAAAGTCACCAAGATCTCTCATGACAGACAAATTATGATATATGATGAGGATAATAAGGATTAAGGAACCAGTTAGTGTAACCTAAGATATGCATTTTTCTCCGTAAGTCATCACAGTTTTATTTATTGTGAGATTATTTCTCTGAATTGCATCCATTTTATTGACTGATTAAGCATATCTTCAAAAAATGCTAGTGAGCACACGTGCCTTTAAAGGTTATTATAGTTTATCTGCTGCGAGATTATTTCTCTCAGTTGCACCGCCTTTGAGTGATTATTAAGAATAGTGTCAGAACGAGCACTTTCCTATGCAAATGACCAACAAGAAGGTTAGTAGAAGAGAGGTTCCAAAAAGGCCTGGAAGGTTACACACGCACAAAAATAAATTATAAACAAACACATTCATACCCAATCCAACCTCATCGGGCATGGAAAAAAACCCACACTGGAACCCAACGCACCTTAGAAGGTGTGTTCTATGAGCCAGATATTGTAACAAGCACACATGCCAGAGATCTAAACTCCGGATTCCCAAATAAGTTTTCAGTGCATATATATTAGATATCATGGACTTGGTTCAACTAAGTAACAAAATTGTCAAAAGGTAATTAAAATTTTAATCTATTTTTGGCGATTCATTGTTTGCAGACAGGAGAAACTATGTTCTAGTTTGACATAATCCGTGTCCGTGTCGTATCCGTGTCCTGTATCCGTATCCGTGCATCATAGGACAGGAGAAACTAATTCTAGTTTGACATAATCGTTACATATTCAAATAACTTCGAAATCCTTGTGGTTTTGAAATGGTAAAAATTCATTACATTTAGTAATGTTTTGACTGACAAAAATGCTTGGGCAAAACATGGATTAGGCGTAAGTGGATCACATTCAGTTTTGATCAAGGTTTTAAATCACCTTTCGGATACCTAGCCCAATTTTTAATAATTTGACTTTGAAATTATTCTCATACCTCGCATACAGTGTTTTAAATGTCAAATATCGGGGATATATCAAACGGAACAAATCCAATATCCGATGACGGATATTGGGGATATATCAAAGATATTTCCTAAATATCAGGTGTCATATCAGATAATATGAATAGATAATTCATAAATGTCCATATGATGGAGTTATGGAGAAAGATGATATCTTTTGTAGAAGCATTTGGTCTCAATTGAGCCCTGATTCTTCTTTCTGGTTATTTACATAAGCAGATATTTGTTTATCGTTTGGTTTTTAGACCTCAACTGAATCATAAGTCAAAACCAACATTTATAACAAATAAAAGTCCAAACCAACATTACAATATTTCAGCTGTTTCTTTAGGCCAAAAAGTCAATTGAAATATAGGGAAAATCATGTTATATAGCCCAAAAATTGAAAAAAAAAAATTAATAAAGGATATTGAGACCATATCATTTTGCAGCAAGACTAATAAAAGGATATATCACCTGATGTATCTATCATGTCGGGGATATTTAAAACTATACTCACAGGAACTTAAATATGTGCCAAAACCTGACTACTAGGTGTGTTTTGGGAGGGTCCTTTCAGGTACATAAAACTGCTCGACTTGCACATCTACATTGAAACCAAATACATAAATTTCATGATTTCATCAGAAAAGAACGAAGATAAATGAACTTGCTTGTTAAGGTTCATTGATGGTATCTTTTATCTAATAAGCATCTCAAAAGAATCAGCTCTGTTCATCATTATCCTTAGTCTAACAATTCTCTATGGATTAAGCAATAACCAAACATATGTACATAATACGGAGCACTGATATCTCAGATCCAGTATACAGACAAGACAACAGGAAAGATTACTATCTATACTTGTAATGCAAGTGATCTGAGTAGAGTACCATCACCATTAGAGAAGCCTTATTGATTCTCTAGGGCAAGCTCACGCCATACATCCCTATCAACTGTTTGGCTTTCTTGATCTGTTCAATAATAAATATATAAGAAAAATCTTAAATGGAAGCCTGCCAAACACATAAAGCAAGAATAACATTTTCATTAAGCTACAAGCACTCTACAATAGTGCCAGAGCCAATGGTAAGAGTATTTAGAAGTATAATATTAGGAAGTACAAGTTATCCCAGAAAGAAGGGGTCTGCTCCCCACACACCCACCCTCCTCCCTCCACACACACACACACACACGGAAACATAGAAACCTGGAAAGAAAACATTAATAAATTGCACCTGTTGTGTGAGATCAAGTGCGATAAGATAGTTTCATGTACGATAATAGAGACAAAACATGCCTGAGCTATGCAACAAGATGTAAGATGATATTATAATCTTCTTTATCTCTTATTACGAAGGGTCATAGGCTGGACTACAGTCTGAGAATTCTCATAATATGTGCTAATCCTTACCACTGAATGGGCCTCAATAGCTACATATAATATACTATATTCTCCTTTGTGAATGAACTTTGTATGAGGTTGATTTATTATTAACAATATACTGAGAAAAACTAAATTTTTCTATAGATTAGTATCCCCTTCATATTTGCACATGTATTACCAGAAGTAGTCCTTCTCTGCATACATTTCATTCTCATAACCATGAGACAAACTACATTTCCAATTTGTTAGCCTCACTCTCACCTAAGCTTCTCAAACAAATTAGCTAAAATTGCTTCTTCTTGCATGCTTGAAACAATCAAGACCTAGAAAAAGCGTAGTTGTTAAAGGAGAGAAACCTACAGTGACAACAATTTGAAATTAGCAAATTAATGCTGGAGAAAAAAACATTAGCTGATAAAATAATAAAGATCAAGCAAGCCAAAGACGTACAATAATGCAGCTAAGTAATAGTTAAAAGAGATACTACTTTAGGATTGGAAACAGATCCTAATTTCTTTAAGTAAGCCTGTGAATATTGTTTAAGTCAAATCATAGGAGGATGAATGAAGAATAATTGCTGTAAGATTGACCTAGCCTGCAATTTATTGATTCAAAAACAGTACATACTAGAAATGAACATGAAAGTTTTAACACTTCAAAGCCATTGTATAGTAAGAGAATAGATAAAGAAGAGAGAGAAAACAAAGTTGTTTATTGTAAGTCCTTGATATACTTACATATGGGGATCAACTTAATAGACATTCTCATTAGACTATGTACATGGCAATCTAAAGAGCACTAGGGTTCTCAGCCTATATTCAAATTGGATTAGGGAAGGAAACATCGATCTTGAATAGTATGCTATAAAGCTTTACAATCTCAAAATTAGCAACAATATGGATCAATATTAAACTTCGCTTGATGATTCTAAAACTCATACTTGTTTCTTACACTTTCATGAGATAAGGAAATCCTATAAAAGGATAGTATTACTTGTGCAGAACATCAGATATCAGGACACCCTGCCTAATTGGCATCAGCATATACTACTAACTAAAGAGAGGAGGTAGTATTAAAAAAAAGACCATAATCACAAGAGATAAAATAGTAGAAAAGAAAGGACCATAATCACGTGATCAAGAGATATCTAATAACTCGTATAACGCGCTATAAGGAAGCTGTGAGGGTGAATCACAAACTAAGTACTTCCACATCAAGTTATATATTATCACTTGCAGATGCATTGATGATCCGGAGTCGTCAAACTTTAGATCACAATACTAGTGCCACATGAACTCCTGAAACTCTTGACATTATCATTCCTATTATTGCTTTGTTTCATTCTTCAGATATTCATGTTAATAAACAACTACTTTACTTGCTCCTAGAACCCGCAATCATCATTCTACTAGGAGATATAGTTCCCAGCAGATATACCATTATTCATTTAAAGGATATGGTAAGGATACACCTGACTCAATACTTTGGATTCAGTTTCTTCACCTACTTACCATCTTCCCCATTGGCCAAAAGTGTGAGCGTGAAATCACAGACCAAGCACTTCAACACCAAGTTCTATATTGCAGTTTGCATATGGATTGATAACCCGGAGTCACCAAACTTTAGATCACAATACGAGTACTCCATAAACTCCTGAAACTCATGACATTATCATTACTATTGTTGCTTTGTTTCCATCCTTAAATTATTCATGTCAAGAAACTACTACTTTGCTTGCTCGCAGAACCCTCAACCGTCGTTCTACTAGGTAACATAGATCCCGGTAGATATATCATAATTATAATTTGAGTGATATGGTAAGTATATACCTAATGCACTACTTTGGATTCGGTTTCTTACCTACTTCACCAGTAGCCAAGAGTGTTAGAGACAAGCTAGCAGCAAGAAGCTCAATGCACATGGGCAAAACGGTACCGGGGATCTGGTGCCTCTACCAGTTGGTAAGGCATCATTGGGGGCAATGGGTTTGTAAAGATGCATGAAGATGGTAATGGGTTTGTAAAGTTGGATGAAGATGGTAACTAGAATGTCATAAGCCTGAATAATGAGAGGAGATTTTACTTGATTCCTCCGCGTCATCGGTTCGAGGAGCAACCTCTGCAGGCGGCGTGACACCTGAGATTGGAAGCCAGAGAAGACTGAGTTTTGGAAATTATAAAGGTTGAAAGAATGAAGCTTTCGTGTTTGATGAAATGCCTCAGAGAAAAGAAAAACGAAGAGGCAAGCACCGTCTTCAGGGAGAGAGTCTCTCATCCATTCCTCGTCGACGACGTCGATCAGAATGCCCAGGCTCAGCAGCTCTGCTGCCATCTTGCTGCCTCCGATCCCCACTCTCCCGTCTGATGTCTGATTGGCCCTTCAACAACTTTGGGCTTCCCTAATTTTGCAAATAAATAAAAAACTTCTCGAGAGCGGAAAAAAAAAAGTGGGGGTTATGCAGGTGGTCGTGCCTCCTACCTTCAATAATTTCATATTAGCCCTTCAAGCCTATGAATTGGCTCGACAGTCCCTCAAATCCCCTATTTCATCCCTCAATGTCCAAAATACCCTCAGATAATATCTTCTTGAGGGATTATTTGCAATTTGGCACTCTAAAGTTTACATATTTTCGGCTCAAAGTGCTTTGGACTCTTTGATATCCCAAAGTCTACATATTTTTAACTTTCATACCTCAAAGATTATACATTTTGTTTAAGCTTTCGTACCCCCAAAATTCTATAGTTTTTAACTTTGATACCCTAAAGTTTGGGGTATCAAAGTGCTAAAAATAAAAGTTTGGCATATCAAACTCAAAAAGGTATAAACTTTAAGTAACAAAAGTGGTAGGAAAAAAAATTTTAAGGTACCAAAGTTAAAAAAAAAAGTGTAAACTTTAGGGTATAAAGTGTCAAGAAACTTTGGGATATTAAATTTAAAAAATATTAAAATTTAGAATTCCAAAGTACAAACAACACCCCCTCCCTCTCTCTTTTTTTAAAGAATACCGGTTTTAAGAGAGAAATCGTATCTAGGGGTCCATCTTCAAAAAATGACAAAGATGAAATAGAGATTTATAAACGAACTTTAGGATTTTACATGAATACCCTCCAAAGTTTAGGGGATAAAATGTCAAATTAACCCTTTTAAATTTTGAAAGGGGAGTCACAAAATCTTCCTTCCTGAACATTACTGTTCTCTCACCTAAACTCCCCATTTGTAATTTGTAAATAATCAAAATAATTTTTTAGAGAAAAAATCTTAAATTTTATCATTTATAATTAAGCGGAGAGAGCATATGCTCTCCGCTAAATTTTATATTTTTAACTCTTAATAAAAATTTGTTTATTTGCAAATTACATGTAATAAGCTTCCAAAAGAAAAGGTTAAAGTTCAGAAGGGTTTTGTGAGAAACTCTAAATTCAGGGACGTTATGTGAGATAAACATGGTTCAATACTTGTTTGTGAGTAACTCCAAAAGCTCAGGGTGTTTATGTGAAATTAGCCCCAATTTAAAGAAAAACACTACAGGCACACCCCATGCCACACCTCTGGTCACACCCCCTCTCCCTCTACAGTACAGGGGGCCCCACCTGAGATTTTTAAAAAAATCTCAGGTGGGACCCCCTGTACTGTAGAGGGAGAGGGGGTGTGACCGGAGGTGTGGCAGAGGGTGTGCCTGTATCGTCACCCCTTAAAAATTACCTTGATGCTAAAACAGTAAAATCATGATCATCTATTACATAATAATTACCAAGCCCCAAAACCCCAAACCCAACCTCCCTCCCCCCTACGACCCCTTCAGCAAGAAACCCACCATCCAAGAACCCTCGGACCCCACCAACCTCCAAGAAGTCTTCCACAGCATGCGCTCCGAGGGCCTCACCAACAGCGCGATCAAGATGTTCGACGCATTGTCGAAAGACGGCCGGACCCACGAGGCGATGGCCCTCTTCGCCGTAATCAAAGACAAGGGCACAATGCCCGACGTCGTCGCCCACACCGCGGTCATCGAGGCCTACGCCAACGTTAGGAGTTTCGAGAGGATGCTGGCTTCGGGTGTGGAGCCGAATGTGTACACTTATGGCGTGTTGATTAAGGGGTTGGCGAGAGATGGGAGGGTTGGGGAGGCTAGGAAGTTTTTGGCGGAGATGACGGGGAAGGGGATGAGGCCGAACGCGGGGGTTTGTGTTGAGGTTTTCGAGGCGTGTGTGAGGGAGGAGAAGGTGGGGGAGGGGAGGGCGATACTGGAGGAGATGAAGGGGAGAGGGTTTGCGCCGGACGAGAAGGAGGTGAGGCAATTGCTCGGGAAGAGGGGGAAGATGTTTAGGGGGGTTATGGGATTGATCTTCGGCAAGTAGGAGATTGGGTATGTTCTTGTTACTCTTTGTATGATGGAGTGTGTTTGTGTTAGGAAATGGGTTGTGAAATTTTTGAGGTTCGGTAGACGTCTTAGGCTCGGGAGGTTTGGTGTTATATAGTCTTGATTTAGTTAAGTTACTTGGTTGTTGATGCTTGCGAGTAGGAAATGTTCGGGTACGTGATATCCATGGTTTGGAAACGGGAACTATTCGATGATACATAGAGTTTATCCGAATTGTGTGCTTGGTGATGGTTGCTCTATGTCTGATAATTTGATATTATCGTTGTTAAATAAAAAAAAAAGGGGACTTGCTTGAATTTCCTCCAAGTGAAAAACCCCCTGTGAGTTGTTATTTTTGTATGCGGTGTGATGATGGATTATATAGTTTTGATTTAGTTAAGTTGTTAGTAAGTTGCTTCTTTCTCTAGGATTGAAATGCTTTTGATTTTTTTTAAAGTACGGTTGTCTTATTTTGGAGAAGACCCGGATATTGCTATGCAAAAGTCATTTGCTTTCCATGCTTGTTGTTAGATTTACATTGAAATTCTTTAATGATAGAGTGATAGGTTAGGGGTTTGTTGTTAGTTTGCTTTTTTTTTCCTAGTCAGGGCAAAGCTAATTTTGGGTACTTTAGGCGTGTCAGTGTTTTTCTCAAATTTCTCAGCGTAGTATGTCTATATCGATCAGCGTTGCTTTTCATTGAATGTTCGGAGTGAGAATTGATGCGTGGAAACCTCAAAAACTTAATTAAAAGCCACATGGTATGTCATAAATCATAATCCTTCTTACTGCGTTCTGATTACTCTGTGTCTAACATCGACAAACATTGAGTCGGTGTACAAATGTGTCCTTGAATCTGGGCGTTCCTATAGACAGGTGGTTTCCATATTGAACAATATAAACACATACTGTGTACACTTGTAAACTTATGTCGTGTTAATCTTCTAGCGAGATTTTTATGTCAAAGCTGGTGATAAATGTGTTATTTGATTCGTGATTTTGAAGTATAAACATCCAAGTTTTCTCATCATTGGCTCCGTTTCTAATTGGTAATCCCAAACTTTGCATTTGTATTCTGCTGATTGGTATTGTACTGTACTCCTTTCTATGCTGATACTCCTTGTGTAACTTGTGAACTGATGTGGTGTGTAGATCAAAATATGTTCAAAGCTGAAAGATATGAGTTCTGGTGACGGCGGATTCTTAAGGATTGATGAAGGTCCTTGTTTTCTTTCGTTTAGGATCTTTCAGGACTCAAATGACATTTTGCCGCAGCTGAATGTGGCTTCTCTCCCAAACTTAATGAGAAAACCTTTGCTATTATCATCAAGTTTTTTTTTTTTTTAATCTTTTGCAGCTAGGAGCTAGTGATTCAGCTGAATGTGGCTCCTCTCCAAACTTAATGATGGGTCATGGTGATTATTCCAATTCCTCGAGGATGATGATCCTAGTCTAGTTTAACTTTCTTAATATCTGAGATTGCTAATTTGCACATTTATTTCCTGCTAAGGAATGTAAAATTTCATCAACTGGAATATGATTTCCTGCTCTTCTATATTGGAACTTCCAAACTTTACCTGGATGCCAAAGATACGAAGCATTCTATCTTGAATCAAGAGCCATTTTTGTCACTTTAGCCAGTGGCCATGAAGGTAAGGAGGGAATTCAGGAGATTTCTGAGTTTAAATGTGTTCAAGGGTTAAACTCAACTAAACCATTTGAGGTAGAGCGCAAGTTTTCCTCAGCTGGATTGCTTCTCAAATCTGAGTCTCAAAACGGTCAAAAGTGAAACTTATATGTCTTTTGATAAACTATAGTATTTGATATATTTTCCAACATGTATATCATTTTACTTTCTGTAAGGCCCCTAAATTCTGCATGGTATAATTAGTAAAAGATTATAAATTCAAGCTCTAAATATAAAGTTTCTCTAGGTGGAAGCAGGCAGTCCGTCAGGAGCACTCTAAAATGAAAATGAAACCAATCAGGTCGTTTGTTTAAACTGTTATGTAGATTTTTTTTTTTTTAAAGATACAAGTGTCTTGCCTTAAAAAAAATAAAGAAGACAGATAGTTTGTTTTGCAATAATATTTCCTTTATTTATGTGATACAAACTGTGAACCGGATAAGGCCCAGGCCCACGAACACATGCAGCGGGGATTTTTGAGTCGGTTTCAACACATGCACGCACGCGTTTTCTCTCTGTTGCCTATATAAACAATTGTTTATTAGGTTTTCTTGTGTGCAGGAGGTTTGTAAATCGCTGCTATCTCTTTTTGGTGCTAGGCGGCTACAGCAAAGTGCGTGAGGAGTTCTTCCGGAGAAAAAGTTTCGGCTGTCCGCACTGTGCACGCGGAATTGTTTGGCGACTGCAGCAAGAAGAAAAAGAATAGTAGCTGCAGTTAAGGAGATTTTGTGTAGTCCTTTTAAGGGTTTTGTGTATCCCTTTGAGAGAGTATTTGTGTGCGGGATTTGAGTAATTGTTTGAGGGTTTAGGTTGTGAGTGATTGTAAACCCTAGTTGTAATCTCTCCCTCTATTAGTAGATCTCCCCCCTCCTTGCCCCGTGGACGTAGGCAATTTGCCGAACCACGTAAAAATTGGTTGTACTGCTTTTGTGTGATTTGTAATAACTTTTAGGATCCCTCGACAGGTCAGTCCTAGAACTGATGAGAGGAAGAGCCGATATCTCACTTGGTTGAGATATCCGCTTCAGATTCTTGTCTCCTTGGTGAGACGAGAATTCTTATTGCGATCTGACTCTCTTGTTGTGCTGCCGAAGTGTTGCCGAAATTTCCGCTGCGCGTAACAAGTGGTATCAGAGCCCAGGTTTCAGATCTAGGGTTTTTTGGTGGAGGAAGATTTTTGTGTGAAGCTTGGTTCTTGGAGTTCTAGGCTTCGGTGGAGATATCATTAGGAGTTGCCGTTGGAGATTTCGCTTTCCTCGTGTGGATAGGAGATCTATTTGGAATCCGATCTAGGGTTCAGTTGGGTGGTTTCTAATTCTATCAAATTTGTTCTTTTTCTACAATTTGGAGTTAGTTCGCAATGGGAGAAGAAGGTGAAAGCAGCAAATCGATGGCGAGTACAATACAAGTTGGTTTTCAGAACACTAAGATTAGTGTGGTGAAGTATGACGGCAAAATCAACTTTGGTTTGTGGATGAGCGACGTACAGGATGCGCTCAATGCTCAGAATTTGGAAGAGACCATCATGGTCCACGAGAGGCCACCTAAATATGATGAGGCGATATGGGAGAAGATGAATAGGAACGCTTGTGGGGTGATCAGATCCTGTTTGGAACAAGAACTGAAATATGATGTGATTGGGGTGACGTCTGCAATGAAGATGTGGGAAATTCTCAACAATAAGTATCTCATAAAGAGTGTTGAGAACAGGTTGCACTTGCTGCGAAGACTCTTCAGATTTCAGATGTCCAGAGGCACCTCGCTAGCGGCTCATGTGAACAACTATACGAAGTTGTTGTCGGACTTGGCGAATGTTGATGAGAAGATATCGGATGAGTACAAGGCAATTATTTTGTTGGGCTCCTTACCAGATGAGGAGTATGATACCTTCGTGCTCACTTTGTTGAACGGGAGATCTTCTATCAGCTATAGTGAAGTGACTAACGCTTTGACAAATTACGATTTGAGAAGGAAGGATAAGGAGACTTCCCGCGCTAGTACTTCAGACGAGACCTTGTCGACGAGAGGTAGAAACCCATATCCGAAAGGTGGTAATAGAGGAAGGTCAAAGTCTAGAGGCCGCCACCAATTAACAAAGAACCAATGTGCATTCTGCAAGGAGCAGGGACATTGGAAGAGAGACTGCCCGAAGCTCAAGGAGAAGGAGAATGGCAAGAAAAAAGGCCCGAAGGCCAATGAGGTGAATATTGCGAAAGGCGATGATTCCGATGATTCGTGCTTTTCTCTACTGATTACTCCGGAGGTGAACCATGTGGATGCATCAGATTGGATGCTTGATTCCGGCGCTACCTTTCATGTGACCCCTAGGCGAGACTGGTTTGCATCTTTTGAGAAAGTCGACGGGGGCGTTGTTGTCATGGGAAATGATCAATCCTGTGGCGTTTGTGGGATAGGTACCATGCGGATTAGGATGCACGATGGAGTAGTCCGTGAGTTGAAGGAGGTGAGATTTGTTCCTCAACTGAAGAAAAATCTTATCTCAGTTGGAGCTTTGGAGGCGAAGGGATTCAAGGTGACTTTCGAAAACGCTGTAGCGAAGGTTACTAAGGGATCATTGGTGGTGATGAGGGGAGTCCGCAATCGGAATTTGTATTATCTGAAGGGAAGCACCGAGATTGGCCAGGTTGCTTCGGCTATTTCAGAAGCGGACATGAGCAGACTTTGGCACTATAGATTGGGGCACACAGGTGAAAAGTCACTGCAGGCATTGTGCAAGCAGGGGCTATTGAAGGGAGCCAAGAGTGGGAAGATTGAGTTCTGTGAGCACTGTGTTCTTGGCAAGAAGACGAAGGTGAAGTTCGGGACTGCCATTCATCAGACGAGGGGCATCCTGGATTACGTGCACACAGACGTTTGGGGTCCCACCAAGACTGCATCACTTGGTGGTCGACATTGGTTCGTCACTTTTGTAGATGACTATTCTAGGCGTTGTTGGGTGTACACCATGACGAAGAAGAGTGAAGTCCTAGATTTGTTTGTGGAGTGGAAGAAGAGATTGGAACTGCAGACTGGGAGAAAGATCAAGACGTTGCGATCCGACAACGGTGGTGAGTATACTTCTGACCCCTTTCAGCAGCTATGTCGAGACGAGGGCATAGAGAGACACTTCACAGTTAGTCATACACCGCAGCAAAATGGGGTGGCAGAGAGGTTGAATCGGTCTTTACTGGAGAAGATCCGATGCTTATTATCGCAGAGTGGTTTAGAGAAGATCTTTTGGGCTGAGGCACTTACGTATGCGAGCCACCTCATTAATAGGCTGCCTTCATCTGCGATTGAGGGGAAAACCCCTATGGAGATGTGGTCGGGAAAGCCAGCACATAACTATGACCAGCTCAAGGTATTTGGGTGCCATGCATATTATCATGTTAGAACTGATAAATTGGAACCTCGAGCTAGGAAGGCCATATTTGTAGGATTCAAGCGTGGTGTCAAGGGATACAAGCTTTGGGATCCAGTTGATAAGAAGATTGTGCTGAGTAGGGACGTCACGTTTGATGAAGCTTCTATCTTGAAGCTTCCCAGCTCTCATCAGGTGGAGAGCGATCCGACGGAGGAGATATCGCAGGTGGTGGAGATCGATGCAGCTCCACATTGTCCAGATGGTACAGTATCCATGCAGGTGCCGACTGAGGTGACGCCAGGCGAGCACGACGATGACACGGAGGATACGAGTACAAATGTGCAGGATCAGGAACCGACGGCTCAGGTTCAGGATTCTATTGCGGCTAGGAGACAGAGGAGAAACATACAGATGCCAGCACGGTATGCCGACACAGTTGCGTATGCACTTCCGGTGGAGAGTATCGATGAGATGATACCTACTACTTTCAGAGAGGCCGAGCAGAGTTCGGAAGCTGTTTCGTGGCAGGTAGCTATGCAGGAGGAGATGGAATCTCTTCATAAGAACGATACATGGGAGCTGTTTGAGCTTCCAAAGGGGCGGAAGGCAATTGGTTGCAAATGGGTATACACGAAGAAGGAGGGTATTGAGGGCACTCCATTGAGGTTCAAAGCTAGGTTAGTTGCGAAGGGCTATGCACAAGAGGAAGGTATTGACTATAATGAGGTTTTCTCTCCGGTGGTGAACCATTCTTCGATTCGGATTTTGCTAGCTTTGGTGGCACAGTATGGTTTAGAGTTAGATCAGTTGGATGTGAAGACGGCATTTCTTCATGGTGATCTTGATGAAGAAATATATATGACTCAGCCATTGGGATTCCGAGCTGCAGGGAAAGATAAGTTGGTTTGCAAACTGAAGAAATCGCTATACGGTTTGAAGCAGTCTCCTCGACAGTGGTATAGGCGATTTGATGGTTTTATGATTGGTCATTCGTACACTCGGAGCCAGTTTGATCCTTGCGTATATTTTCGCAAGTTGAAAGGAGGTGCGTATATTTATTTGTTGCTCTATGTCGATGACATGTTGGTTGCCTCTATTTCCAGGTCGGCTATAGATGAGTTGAAAGTTCAACTATCAAATGAGTTTGAGATGAAAGACTTGGGTGAGGCGAAGCGCATTCTAGGGATGGAGATCGGCAGAGACAAGAAGAAGGGCAGAATTTGTTTGACACAGGTGGCTTATTTGAAGAAAGTTCTACAGCGATTCCATGTTAGCATGGATACGAAGCCAGTTGGTGTACCTTTGGGAGCCCATTTGAAGCTTTCAGCTGGTCTTTCACCGAAGTCAGTTGAAGATCGTGAGTTGATGTCGAAGACTCCATATGCGAGCGCGGTTGGGAGCTTGATGTACGCAATGGTATGTACGAGACCAGATTTGTCACAGGCGGTAAGCATGATTTCGAGATACATGCACGATCCAGGAGTGGGTCATTGGGACGCCGTGAAATGGATTTTGAGGTACATTCGAGGTACGCTCAATGTTGGTTTGGTTTATGAGCGGGACACTACAGGTGGGCAGCTATGCATTGGCTATGTTGATTCGGATTATGCCGGGGATTTGGATAAGCGCCGGTCTACTACGGGGTATGTGTTTACTTTGACCCGTGCACCGGTGTGTTGGAGAAGCACCTTACAGTCGACGGTGGCTTTGTCTACGACGGAGGCAGAGTATATGGCAGTTACGGAGGCTGTGAAGGAGGCTATTTGGCTTCGAGGACTTTTGGAGGAACTTGGTATATCGCAGAGGTCCGTCACTATTCATTGTGATAGCATGAGTGCTATCTATTTGGCGAAGAATCAGGTTTTTCATGCGAGAACGAAGCACATTGACGTTCGTTATCACTTCGTTCGAGATGTTCTTGAAGATGGCGATGTGGAAATTATGAAAGTCCACACGAAGGATAATCCGGCGGATATGCTCACTAAGGTGGTTCCGAGCAACAAGTTTGATCATTGTCGAAACTTGTTGCACATTCGTGATTGTTGAGGCCGTTGGCGGCCATTTGGGTGAACTACGTTCGGCTTGATTCCTTGGGCAAGAGGATACGTAGGCAGTCTTTCAGATGCAGCCGGTTTTGGATTAGTTGTTTTTGATGGGGGTGAGATTGTTTGGACTCTCGTTTGAGTTCTCGACTTGTTGTGGATTGACTTCGTACTGGCCACAACAAGTGAGACATTTGGTTGCTTTAGTGTCGGCTTAGTTTTGGAGAAACTTCACCGAGGTGGAGAATTGTGAACCGGATAAGGCCCAGGCCCACGCACACATGCAGCGGGGATTTTTGAGTCGGTTTCAACACATGCACGCACGCGTTTTCTCTCTGTTGCCTATATAAACAATTGTTTATTAGGTTTTCTTGTGTGCAGGAGGTTTGTAAATCGCTGCTATCTCTTTTTGGTGCTAGGCGGCTACAGCAAAGTGCGTGAGGAGTTCTTCCGGAGAAAAAGTTTCGGCTGTCCGCACTGTGCACGCGGAATTGTTTGGCGACTGCAGCAAGAAGAAAAAGAATAGTAGCTGCAGTTAAGGAGATTTTGTGTAGTCCTTTTAAGGGTTTTGTGTATCCCTTTGAGAGAGTATTTGTGTGAGGGATTTGAGTAATTGTTTGAGGGTTTAGGTTGTGAGTGATTGTAAACCCTAGTTGTAATCTCTCCCTCTATTAGTAGATCTCCCCCCTCCTTGCCCCGTGGACGTAGGCAATTTGCCGAACCACGTAAAAATTGATTGTACTGCTTTTGTGTGATTTGTAATAGCTTTTAGGATCCCTCGACAGGTCAGTCCTAGAACTGATGAGAGGAAGAGCCGATATCTCACTTGGTTGAGATATCCGCTTCAGATTCTTGTCTCCTTGGTGAGACGAGAATTCTTATTGCGATCTGACTCTCTTGTTGTGCTGCCGAAGTGCTGCCGAAATTTCCGCTGTGCGCAACACAAACTACTAATGATTTCTAGAATTTGAAAACGACTGCGTATTTTACATTGCATAATAATGTGATTTTTTAAACCGTTTCTTCTTTGTAGAAAATTGTAATCCTTTGCGTCAATGCACATAACAAGTTTAAAGAGCAAGCAATTCTTGCACTCAGGCAGGGATATGCACGAACACAGTAGTGATACAGATTTGGCTTGGATATGCAGAAAATTTTCGCGCACAGCCATAAGTTTCACACATAAATTTCACTGTTCTTATAAATCCTTCACCATGCAAAAACCTTGCCAATTACAGTAAAAATCCACAAGATAATAAAAATTAAAAAAAAAGCAATCATCTTGATAGCTCAAGCGATTCTACCTGAATTCATGACAACGTGCAGCGCCAGAGGTACCTTTTCAGAGAATTCCTGGAGTCAATCACACTTTTTATTTTTATTGCAGAGCAGAAATACCAGGCCAATCTCATGTAATTCAGAAATTATCTGCGATTCAATCTGATATGTAATCATGAATCTTCATTTTCGCTATAATCATGCGGCAGAAGAAGGTTGGATGAGCAGGGATAATCTTATACTTGTTGGTTTGTGATACATTGATTCTTTGCAGTAGTATTTCCATGTAAATTTTCCGAGGATGGCTTTCTTACCATGGCTGTCACATTTATGCAAGGCTGATTGCTGTTTCTTCAGCTTTTACCCATTCACTTTCCTCGTAACTGCATAAGAGGAATCAATAGCAACGTGAATTGCGATAAGACATCGAAAAAAAACTGTAAATAACCTCATGCTTACCCCAAAAAATAATGCTTGGTAGCAAGAACCTCATTCCGGATCATCACATAGAACCATTTTCTTCCAGTTTCAAATAGCATATTGAGCCTATCAATGTTAATACCTATGTCCCCGAATAACATGTAAATATGAAGTGCATAAATTATTCAAAACAGTTCTCAACCATCGTCATAGTAATGGCCCCATGACTTCTGAATGCTAAAAGGTCTGGAGGCACGTACATGGAGGTTATTATACAACTAATAACGAAAATTGATGAGTAAGAACTAAACTTCAAATGAAACGAATCATTTATCAGGTATGAAACTTCTATGCAGCATTTCAAACATTTCTTTTGACAAGGTTTTATTCTATCACATTCAAGTAACACAAGATGGATGTAGCTGAAAACATTAATATGATGGTCACATATTAGCGTTATATGAACACTATACACATAGAGGGGGATCCTCGCAGCTATTTCCTAAGGTAAATTTTCTTTACAACGAGGCTCCCGACTATACAGCTGCCTTATCTTTTTCTTTCTTTATATTTCTCTATTATTCTTTTCTTCTTGGCATCCCTGGAATATTGTGTACAAAATCCACAATGACTTTATTTATCGAATCTCAAGTTGTCACAGAGGTGGCCAAGTTCAGGTCTTCCGCCCATCCATGATGCAAATGCCATTTCGCCTGGAGATGAACAGTGGAGGTAGGAACGGAAGGTGATAAGGAAAAAGTATCGTCTGCAAAAAGATCAAAAAAATGTTAACCAACTAGCTAATCATAAATGCACTTTTTATCTTTAACTTCAAAAGCAAGACTTGACAAGCACTCTGATAATCAAAATAGTTCATTACCTAAGTTCAAGCAACCTTTTGCATGTAGATAAACCCGATAACTTGATGCAAGATGAATTTTTACCTAATTATATTAGAAGATATTATATATTTCATAGCCTTCAATAGAGACGTGCAGATTCAATGCAAAAAATATGGGGCATGTACAATTGTATATACAGCTAGACTTTTTAGTTAGCCTTCCTTTCTCCCTACAATACACATATATAGGGTATTATCCTCTATATAGGGTCCTATATTATCCTCTATATAGGGTATTACCCTCTTCCATAATACATAAAAGATCCTTTCCCAGCACAATTAACAAATTCTGATACAAATAATTCCTTGCCAAAAAGTTAGACAGTCTTCAAATGCAATTTGATTCATGCAAATATTGCATATAAATCAAGATTGAATTTTGGATTTTTGACGAATTGATAGTTTAGTACGTGCAAAAATTACAGTTATCCAGCATCAAAGTATTATCGCTGAACATTGAACTTAGAAATATGACTGACCTTAAAGCTTTAATGCCCATATCCATGAGATATGTACGAGTCTCATCATCATCATTACAGGACTTCTCCAATCTCTTCTTATAGCTGAGAATGTCATCTCTTAAATGCCCAGCACCAGCACACCTTTGGAATAATTTTGAAGCAAGATCCATTAGAACAGAAGAATATAAACACAAGGCAACAGAACGAAGAGGAACAAGGCATAAAAAGTGCTTAAGTACAGCAACCTGCAGGGCATAAAAAGTGCTTAAGTACAGCAACCTGCAGGACTATAGAAGCTGTTTCTATAATTCTTGTGTTTTCAAGATCAATTAAAACAGAAGAAAACAAATACGACGCAACAAAACCAAAAAGAACAAGGCATAAGAAATTTGTGTAAAACTGTACAGTAACCTGCAGGACAGTAGAATTTGTGTGTGTGTACACGGGTGCATAATTTCGTATTATTCCTTAAGTCAACTCAGAAGTTCAATTTTATATACAGAAAGGTAATCAGAATCATCTCAATTTTCCCCTGCACTCTGAAGTGAAGGAACCAATTTTAGATAACAGACATTAATGAACTTGATAATCAGGTATCATCATCGATCAAATCCCCATCATTGAGTAAACATTTCAGTTATTCACCATAACATGTTGTAAATTGGACTCTCAGAAGGACCAATGACATCAAAGCACTCCATTCATCCACTCAGAGAAACGTTTAACTAGTATCAGGGGAAAGCAATCTCTTACAGCAGGTTTTCAGGATGGCATTCAAATAATATATGATGCTTGTTTCTGCTTTTATCATTTAGAAAGTTGATCCTTTCTCTAGCTTTGGACACCTAGAAACAGACAATATTACACTACATAACTAATCCACATAATTATTTCTCTTATGTTGTGACTTATGAAATACATCCATAATATAGAAAATTGGTGCATCCCCACTTGGTACGTATGTAACTCCCCACAGGTAACACTAGCTAAGTGCATATTTGTATGGGGAAGTGGGACATTGGATACATGTAAGAGCAGCAGCACACAAAGAACCATGCACATGTACTTGATAAAAGGCCTACTACAAATGTGCTTATATTACAATTTCTCTCAGTAATTGTGAAGTTGCCATGTGTTCCTTGCAGCAAATGAAATAATGAAATACATATTCCTTACTACTTAAAGAGAAGGAATGGAATAAATACAGAAACTTTTAGGGAAAGGTAAGAGCTTGCAATATACAAAATGACAGATATGAAATTCTGCAAACATAAAACTGAACAATAGTGATGGGATGACACCATCACTAAGACACAAGTATAAAACTGATAAGTTTCAAAATATAAAACATGAAGATGGCATCAAGAAGGAAATTTTGTGTTTCATGAGAAAGATGGAGTATGCCAAGTATCAGGATGAACTGAAACGGTTCTTAAGATGTCCTCAACTGCTACTTCTAAATTTAACAATATAATTGAAACATACACCTACACTCATAGTTGATGGTGTAACTTAGACAAATCTACAATATAAGTAAATGGACAAAGAAAGCATAAGATGTTCCTAAGATGAATTACCTCTCTATGATAATGTCAACTTCTTTTTTGCTTTTGGGGCCACAGATCAATACTCTTGTAAGGCTTAGAATGTCCCGATAATCACCCTGTTTAAGTGTTTCTTCACTGGAAGGCTGATAAGGTAGATTTTCGCTAAGAGTTGTCGTTAGATGTTGTTGGACTGTTTCTTCTAATGTAAACCTTGAATCAGCATTAAGCCCAAGGCAAGTGATAGCCATTGCATAAGCAACTCCTCCAGCTCCGGTATGCGAAACAAAAATGTAGTAACTAGCAGATCTGTACAGACATTCAATTACTTCCCACCAATTTAAAGATTAAAAAGAAACAATGTGTGAAACCCATTTACATCAAACTTTTTAAAGGCAACCATCACGAGGATACTTACTCATCTTTACAGTATTGTATTGCATCAATATCTGAGCTAATGCTTCTCTTTTCCTAGTGTATAGTCGGTATCCTTTTTATACTCTATATTAAAGCCTTCATCTTTTAAGGCTGCATAGACTTCAGCGGGAGTCTTGACATCATCCAGAGATATGTTTTCCCAATAACCAATTATACTGGACCGATTTGTTGATGGATTAAATTCTTCCCGATGCAAAAGCAGTCGACCTCCTGATTGCCTTATTTCAGCATATATATCTTCCTTCAGCCTTAGTTCCATGTGTTCCACCTGTGCAAACAAGCAAATGAGCTTTCCAAAGAAAATGCAGCCTTCTTCCCATAGGGTTGTTAATAAAGTACTCACCATAAGGCCACTGATTCCAACATGCTTGAGCGTATCAACAGGCTGATCTAGTTCCCTAAGGACATATGGTGTGCCATGGATGTAAACGACAACTTCCTCTCTTAAATCAGTTATTATGACTTTCTTTGTATGAGTCCTGTCTTTTGTTCCATTAGCACCTAAATAGGCTAGCACTTCTTTGGCGCCATTAATTGTTGGAGTTGCCATGCTATATACAGGATATGCGTCCACCTGAAAATCAGATAATTAGATACGAGGCGGTGACCCCTAAAAACCAAATAAACACAAACTTTATGTTGTAGAAATTATATAACAATAATAATTACATGCTCAACTGTTAAGTCTTCACAGTTTAAATATATCAAAAAGAAACCTGAAAATATATACTTAAATCTTAGTTTACCAAATGGAGTGACAACTGACAAGTACACAGAGCATATATAATATTCAACAGTCATATGGTATACAGCATATGTTTTGTATACAGACCTTGACCAAGCAACACACATGTAGTCCTTGGGGAAATATCACACCCCAAAAACGAAGATTGTAATACAAGCATAATTACGAAAGTAATAAAATACCTTATAAATATGAGGTGCACCCTGAAATGGTATGCAGCTCGAGGTTTTCTGTCCCGGAAAAAAATACATCTTAAGGATTGATCCCTTCCCTAAAACAGAGCCACAACGAGCCTTTACAATCGCCCCCATCACTATATCCCCATGCTGAGATTCATACGGGATTTTGGATTCTTCCTGGGGAATGTAATCATATAAACTTTATAAGAAAGAATTTGTTAATCTCATAATATGAAAGTACACATATATCAATTAGCTTATCATCAGTTTGCAACATCTTCAAAAGGACAGGAGAAGATTACAGGGACAGTGAAGAATCGCCCAGGACGCAGCCTTATACTCCATTTCATCGTCTGGACCTCTGGCCTCCTGTGCAACCAAGTTTTAAATGTAGTCTTAGTTTCACCTTGCCCACAGAAACCATCAAATGCTTCACTTCCCAGGTATGCTGCAAAAGCAATTAATCTGACGTAGCGCTCCAAGTACTCAGCGCCACGGTTTAGTGCAACTCTTCTAACTCTTGGCTCCATATGCTGTTGATTAAAGACCTTCCTATAGTGCAGAACTGCTTCACGTATGTTCTGTAAAGCTGAACATCTATCAATAATAGCATCTAGGACCTCCCTGCATTCGACACCATTATCAAATAACCTCGTAATTTTTCGCAATAATAGGATGTCATTAATTCCAAAAGCGCGCTGTGCATCCTCATCCTTTCCAGAGTTTTTCGAATTTGAAACTGAAGAATCATTATCACATAAAGCCTCTTCACCGCTGGAGGAGCAATTATCTGACACTTCATGGTAACCATCATTTAGCTGCATTCTAATAGGCCTCCCATAATCAATTCGAAGTTTCAGAAGGCAAGCAATCACGGTGCCTGTGGTTGTTCTTCCTCTACCCATCTGTGGAGAAAAATAATCAGGAAAACATTGTATTAAACCTCCTTAACTGAAAGTTAATAGACTTGCTTCTAATAAAGTGCAAGGTAAATTACGGAAGCAAGAGAAATTACCTGGCAATTGAATACATAAAGTGTGTCCTTAGAAGAAGAGGTAATATTTAGTGCTATTGCATCGAAATCTGAGCTTTGAGGTGCTTTTCCATCAGTGATTGGGACACGTGCATATTTAATTGGAAGACCTTCATTTTCCAAACATTTGTAGACCTCCAAAGGAGTTTGAACAGCTTCAGAATTTATGTGTTCCCAAGCATCATGTATTTGACCATCATCTGTTTCATGAATAACCATTATAGCACCATTATATCGTGAAGCTTCCCGTAAAATGTCCTCTTTCAGCCGAGCTTCCATTCCAAAGTGAAAAAATGACTACAATAAATGACCACATTATCAGTTGATGGAAGCAAATTATCAAATTAATATTCATTTACAAACAAAATACAAATCTCTTAATAGAAGAATAGGTGATATATTCTAAAAAGATAATTATACTCAGCCTTGGTTCTGGGAAGATAATTGCAATTTTTATTCAAGATACAATGCGAAATTTTTTTGATATTTGACACAATTTAGAAGTAGCCATCGATATTGGAAAGATGATATTTACCGTGTACTCCAGCATGTTTTTGTAGGGCCTCTCCACCTCACGTAGCACAAAAGGTTTTCCGTTGATATAAATAACTGGCTCTTCCCTCATGTTGTGCCATAAAATTGGATGGCTACCCTTGCTACTGCTTATCCTATCAATAACAGCACGAATACCATCAACAGTAGGGTTAGCAACCCCATAAACAGGAAATCCAGGAACTTCTCTAAAGTTAGGTGCCCCCTCCACCCTCTCAGGCAAACTAAGGTTCTGGCAACCAGGGCAGTGATCACTTTTCAAAACGGTCTTACTTCCAAGAACTTCACCATTTCTTATTGCAGCAACCACGCTCATCTCACAAGGACGGCCATCAGCAGATTCAGCAATTTTTCTCAAAGATGGTTTTAAGCTTGAATAACCGAGCGCGCCCATTGGATCTCTCCTCAGCAACCTGTAGAATTATGACAAAAGCTTATTATCACAAGAGAATTGAATCGCTAGTGTTCGATGGTATGCATGTGTTTCAGTTTATATCTATGGCCTGAATAAACATACTTTCTGATGCTTGAAAGAGTATTAAAAAAAGTCTTTTCTGTTGTAATGATACATGAGTTTTCTTCAATACCAAAGGGCTAAATGTCACACGGCATGCCAATCATTAAATAATAGAGACCCCACACGGCATGCCAACCCCCACCCCACCCCCCCCCCCCCCCCCCAAAAAAAAAAATAAATAAATAAATAAATAAATAAATAAAAACACAAATTTCAAGCTTCAAGACGTCAACTAAAAAATTATTATAACAGAAGAATCGACCCCCTTTTTTCCAATCCTATTTGATGTTTCAATTTTTCCTACAAAGTCCTTTGCGACCAACACTCTGCTTACTGAATTGAAAGAAAAATAGTAGAAAAGAACAAAAAGTTTAGTATTATGGTAAAAGGCTATCTACTTTTTGCAATAATAAAATGGCTAATGAAAACATTATTTCCTTAATCATGTTCTTGCACTTAGTTGACCAAAAAACTAGAAAAGGCCTTCTGCTACTATTTTAACCCTTTAAGGTATCGTTTGGCAAAGGGTTAAGTGAGGGGTTAAGGAGATTTAACCCCTTCTTAACCTGCCAAACACAACAAATCTATATAAGGGTTAAAGTGAGTTAGCCCTCCATAATTTGCCAAACATTTATAGAAGGGTTAAGTTAACCCCTCTAGAGGGGTTAAGTTAACCCCTCTAGAGGGGTTAAAATGAGTTAACCCCTCAAAATGAGGGGTTTACTAATACTCCTATTTAGATGGAATAAGAGTTAACCATTCTAATTATAAAGAAAATAGTCAAAATCATTGTTATTCCCAAACACTAAAACTGATCATAAGGGCTAAAACAAAACTTATTTAACGGGTTAATAATTTAGTCTTTCAGATTATCAAATGGGCTAAGTACATTAATCCTTCTCTTTAACCCCTCTTCATTAACTCTTTGCCAAACGGGGCCTAAGTTCCTAGGAAAAAAAATACAAAGAGGAGAAACTTATAAGATAAAATTCTCACCTGCGAAGTATGCTATAAAGTTCAGGTCTTGCTCTCATCCAGTCAGAGAAACTAATCTGATCTGACAATACTTGAAGGGCAGCTCTCTCGGTGTGGATGTAGACAGCAAAGCAGATAAGGAAATAGTAACGTTCCAAATACTCAACAAAGAAGGAAAGTGATGCCTCTCTCTTCATCTCATCAGCTTGGCGAAGAATACTACTGCGGTAAGCTGCAATGGCTTCTCTCAGGTTCTGTTAAGTAGTATAAAGTGCCTTTTATAAGATAACTAATTATACCAAAAAAAATTAAACCAATCACAATTACAGAAAAACATTTGTTAAATTTATATACTATTTTTATATAAAGAGACACACTTGTACTCATATGGAACACAAGTAGCCTATTGTTGTATAACTGAGAATGCACCTGCATAGAGTCACATTGATCAATCACTTTATCCACTTGCCTTTTGCCTTCTACTCCACCCTATCAAAAGTTCGCTTCAGAAATAAACTCCATGATAGAACTTGAAAATGAAAATGCAATATGTTTGATGTTATACCTCGAGAACACGAATTAGACTTCTTATGACAGCATATTCACCTCTTCGTATTGCCTCCTCAGAATTTGGCATATTATTAGTGACATCTGTTCCAGCACCAAAAACTTTTCCAACCGAATTTGTCCTTGGGATACCTGTTTGGCCCACACGACATAAAATTCACGCATTATCAACAGCTAGGGACAAAAAGGGAGCAGGACCTAGATATTTCAATTGCTTGAAACTATTGATATTTGTGAAAAGAAAGGACAGCCATCTTTCACTCAAATCAAATGAGAACAATTTTACGTTGCAAACACTGTTTACTGTGTTTAATTGCTTGGTCTTTGCCTAGTGTTTAGTCATGTCCTATAAAATTTAACTTCTCCAGAAGAGACAGATAAGTCATTATTACCATTTAAGATGTCCACAAGGAGGTATTATCAGCAGAAAGACACTCAGAAAATCTAGTAATTGTAACAATTAATTTATCACACTACTCAAAATTCAAGGTGATGAGAGTAGCATTTTGAATGCACCCAAATTCTGGAATAAATTCTAAAACTAACAACCCCTAGGACATATTAGTGAAACAACTATATGACAACCAGATAACTAAAAGGGAAAAATGCTTCCAGCCCCCAAAACCCAAGAAAACGTGCCCCCCCAAGACTTTTTCAACGGGTGTTTTGCCCCCAAAATGTTCCGTGATTTTCTTCCAGCCCCAAAACGAATCCCCAGGCGTAACTCCGTTTAAACCCCTCATGAAATGCCCAAAATACCCTTCGATTTAAAATTCCCCGTTATGAGTTACCTCGATGTTCGTACCATGTCATCTCTCTTTTCTTCTGTAAGCGAACCGACTCCAGAAACTCATTTCAAAACCCTAGCCCTAAATCAACCGACTCCAAAGCACACTGAATCAAAGCAAAGGGATTAAATTTGACGGTGATTCAACCACCAAAGCAAGCCTCCATGCCGACCACAGCGAAGGCGATAACGCCCAGCAGTTCGAAATCTCAAAAAGAGCCCAGACAACAGCAGTGTGTACAGAATCTGATACTGAAGTTGTGATTACTAATGTTCTAGAGGACATCGCAACCAGTCATTCTCAACCCAGAAGTCTACCTCAAAATTTAAGTCTAGGCCCCCGCTCAGATCTAGAGGGCAGCACCGGCACCACCGCCGCGTCCAACGATGCCACTAGAGCGCTCCTTATCTACAAAAAGAAAAAAAAAAGAAGCTCGTAGAAGCACCCAAAAGGTAATTTTTACCGTAAATTTTATGTTGTTAAGTTTATGGTTTTATTGATAATGCTCCTAGTCTGGTGGGAATGTCCAAAATTATGAGTGTCTGTTAGCTGTTGAGGTTATTGCTAACATGCAAGGTTCATGCTTTTATTATTGAGATTGTTGTTTGGTTGTTGAGGTTAGACTTTGGTTGTTAAGGTTATGGGATTGTTGTTAAGGTTGTTGGTTTCTCCGTAAAGTTTACAGCATAGTTGTTATGTTTACTGATTATTTTCAAAAATACTTGTCTTGTGTTTTTGTCATGTAGAAAAAGGGCAAAGCTAACTATTACGTTGCGGCCCACCGCCAGCTTCAGTGCCTATCATAACTTCATACTGAATTTGGTGATGCGTATGGAGCCAAGGTATTTTGCGACCTACGAAGATAGTGTATTTAGACACTACGTCCAATTTAGCCCACCTGGCGTCGATCTTCCCACCTTTGAGTACATTTTGAGTTAGTGGGACGAGAAAAGAAAGAAATTCATCTTCACTGATAGGAATGCTAGAGAAGAGATCGTCTGCTCATTCAACCTTGAGTGGGTAATGGTGTTAGATATAGATGCCCTGCAGGCAATTATTGTATATTATAACAGGATCTATATGTATATAACATCCTTGTTTAAAATGATAGTATGCTATTTTGGTCAGATTTATCTGATGTTCTAAAAATACAGATAATGTCCTTAGAATAAATACTAGACTATCAGACATTTTGGATAGTGATCGTAATGAAGAGATCTGATTAGTCGGTAACGTATATTCTAAAATGTTCCTAGTTGATGAAATGTTGAGATAGGACATCCTCACTTTGGTTTAGACTAGTGTATGCTTTATTTCTCCTTTTGAAGGAGATGATCAATCTCTTAGATCATTGATGTGAGACATCAAGATACAGTATACAGGTGACTCATTAGTGAATTAGTTGACTGAACGTCATTGATGTGAGACATCAAGATACAGTATACAGGTGACTCATTAGTGAATTAGTTGACTGAACGACTCACCGAGAACATCTAGTTGGTAATATGCTTAATTGTCAAATAGAAGTTCTCAAGTGATATAGTACATAGTAGTCTCTTGACCTGAGGCATGAGTGCAATATCTTATATGTCAGTAAAAATGTATTTAGACTTTTACCTAACCACAGTTCTTATTGAATTGTGCATAACGGTTCTTGTTGGGTACATCCCGAGACATAAGTAGATATTGAGATGCCAAGAAGGGATTCGTCTCTCCCAGTATAGGGGTTGATGTCATAAGATTGTTTGATATAACTATAGCCTGAAAATCCTTGGCCAAGGTGAATAAGATAAACTGAGTGTCAGTTTGATCTTATAGGTTATGAGTTTAATATCAATAAACACTAATCAAGCTATTAGGGTTTGACAGTTTGTCATACCCTCGGCTCAATAGTTTGACATGGTTTGACGAAGAGACCGGACTGTACGGTATTATCATTGAGTGGTCCTGATAAAATTAGATAAGCATATTGCAGACCTTTATCACAACTTACACCCGGGTGGTCTTCATGTGTAGCTAACACCTCTGTTGTACTTATGGATATGATCCACTACCGAGTTTTTTAAGTTGGGCCCTAGAGTCACACCAAGCGCGTACTTGAATCCTATGAAACACAATTTATGGAGTGATGCGTATGATTGATACGCATATATGATTTCTTCCGGATACACATAAACGGTTATGTATATCGGTAAAATCGGAATGTTATGTGCTTAGGAAATGAATTCTAGTATTTTTCCCATAAAATTAACTTTTTGGTCAACAGTTGACTTTTTGGTCAACAGTTGACTTTTTGGTCAACAGTTGACTTTTTATCAACTCTTGATTTATTTGGTCATATAATGACTAATTAGTTAAAGATTAGAATAATACTATATACCGTATTTATGAAATACTGTATTAGTAATATTGATTTGGTATTTTTATTTATGAAATACACATACCATGTATAATGAGTCATGAGATGAGACATTTAATGGTATGGTTTGAGCACATGATTTATTAGCACATGGTTTTGAAATGTAATGATTCATAAGATGATTCATTGCATGACTCACTAGATTAATTATTGATATTTGATTCATTGCATGACTCATAGGATGAGTCATTCATGTCATGAACACATTTCACTCTATAAATATGAGCTCTCTCTTCATGAAAGGCTAATGAAAATTAAATTTCCACAAGAGAAAGAAAGAGAGCAATACCTCTTACTAAACTTTAGCAATCTTTGAGTAAGAGAAAGTAGTAGGATTTTAAGAACCCCGGGGTGGATATCTTGCCTCGCGTCTCAAGCAGCATCCAATAGCTTTCAGGTTTACTTGAAGAGTTGGAGATCCATTACGAGGAGCTTTCTACATCAAAGAGAGCAAGCTAAAGGTTGTTCGATTCACTATCGAATCACGCTACAAAAGTATGACTTTCAAACCTTGTATGCTCACTTAATAATAAAGATCATGTTAGATTTAATTAGACGATCCATATGAATATTTCATGCTCCCTACATGCTTAGTATTCTTTTGTACATACGATTTCCTTCATGGTATCAGAGCTATGGTTCTATCTAATTGAATCTTAACATGTACATCTAACTCATGGAGGACCTTGTTCTTGCTTCTAATTTCTAGTTTAGATGAAACTAGTTAATTAATTCAAGTTATTTTGTAAAATAATTAATTACAACTTGTGTAGTTGTATGTTACAAGCTTGTTAGTCATATTTGAGTTTGGATAATCCTTATGCTATCTAGTTTCCAATATGTTGCATAACTAGATAGATGCATATTTCTTAATGTTGATTAAGTTATATGATTTATCATCTTGCGTGGATGTTATGTTTATGGAAGGTAGTGGACAACTATTTTCTTGCATGTTTTGTATTGATGTAATAAAGTTAGAAATATAATAATTATTTACGACATCTTCCCTCCCCGAGCATGGGCTACGCCTACGGGTTTAGGCACTTGCTCACCGATCATGGGCTACGCCTACGGGTATAGGCTCTTGTTCGGGTGTGAGGGGGTATGGTTGCTTAGTTTAGTTATTTTATTTATAACTTTTGCTTTATATTTAATACAATATTATTACCCATCCTACGAGATGGTTTTTTCATTATAAATGGGGCTTGCACGTCCTATGTTTATATGATAGTAATAATACAGAGTTTGCAAGGGAGCAAGCACCGCAAGGAGTTGCATATGGCTTGCTAAAATATAATTAGTGTAGTTGTATTTTATTTTCTTTAGTTGTCCACTACCATTCTATATAAGTTTTACATTACATATGTTGATATATGTTGATATGTTGGTTGTGCCCCAAATTATAGATGTCAATACAATTGGGTGCTATTTTTTTGTAAAGTTTATATCTCTATCTCACTAGAGAATAGTTTTTATTATAAAAACTTATTTTTTTAAACTTTGTGAGACATGGCAATAAGAGTTTATTGACCATAGAGTGGTGAGATCGACATTAACATCGTGTTAGTGTGAAAAATAAATAAATCTCAAAAAGTTAAAAAAGATGTATTTAGAACCAACTTTTAGCTAGTGTCTAAGGAAAGTGATTATGAGGTATAGCTAATGGGGTGATACCCAATTTAAGATTAGGGGTGATGCCCAATCTTTCGCGCTATAATCTTAAAGAGAAGTGGTTACTTAATTAGGGTCCGATAAATATTCCCGGTGAATAACTCGGAACCCTCCCACCAATCTTACGCTTTCTTGGCTAGTTTAATTATTGTAAGTATAAATATAGAGCATCTTTAAACTATATCAAGTTCGATTACGGTAAAAGATTTGAGAAATCGTCCGTAGCCCTCCATCATTTTAGTTAAATACTATTA